TTTGAGTACCCTTATTGATCTTGAACTTGCATTTGAGGCGAGTATTGTGAGTTTGAGCATCTTTGGTAAAAGTGAGTTACAACTTGAATCTTTGAGTGCACAATTGATTCTTGAATAAGTAAGTTGAGTCATGTTGTGTTCATTCATGACTGAGTCTTATGTAGCACTGCTTGAGACATCCATTTTCAAATGTTGAACTTGAGTTTTACTTGAGGACAAGCAAAAGTTTAAGTTGGGGGTGTTGATGAGTCCAAGATTTGGACTCATTTAGAGCTTTGTTTATATAGATTTAGTGTCCTCAAATACTTAATTTGTCCCTTAAACTGATGAAAAATCCTTGATTTTCCGGTACATGGATTGAGGAACAAAGCAAGGACACTAACATGCAAAATGAACAAAATAAACAGAAGAATTGAAGAAAGGAAATCGTGGTGATCGCCAAGATAGTTTGGTGACTCTCCGAAGGCCCAGTTCCACCACCTAAAGTTCCAGTGTGCAAGCCTTGAGGGAAGAAACCAAATTGGTGAAAATAAGAAGCAGTCGAGGAATCGCCGAGTAATTCTGTGATACAGTGATAGTTCGCTAAAATTACAGAACCCAATGATGCTGAATGACAAAGCGAAAAGGTGATGGAAGAGATCAAAGGGAGGCTCGCCGAGTGGTTCGGTGAGCCCCACTTACTTTGCTAAATGGGCTTTCGCAGCATATTTTTGGGAATTATAAATAGGATTTTGGACATTTAGTTTAGCAATGAATCAAGTAATCTGGGATATAATTTTTATTATTATTTTTCTATCAAAACTCTTAGAACATTTCTCTCTAGAGTTCTTCCTTAGCTTTGAAGGATTGAAGAAAATTCACTTTTGAGAAATTAGAAGTGGGTCTTTGAGATTCATCAAATTGGAGAATTTTAAGGACAAAATTACTCTTATCCTGGATAATCAATTTGGTAACTGTTTTTACCTTTTATAATGCCTAGCTAAAACCTTAATTCTTGGGGTGTGATCATGTGATTATGACTGATTTAGTTTATGGGTATTGCTAATTGTTAGTTTAAATGCTATTTAAAAGTGAGTTTAATTATTAATTGTGATTTAATTTAAGAATTGTAGTTGCAAATGAAGTTCTATGTTTTGTTCTTGGCTTGCTCAAGAGAGGTTTTAGAACTAAATATATTGATTGATGATTTATGGGCATTGGGTTGACCTGGGTTTAGCTAGAGAGAGTGAATCTTAAACCATATCCCACACATTCAGCTCGAGAGAGTGAATGGATTAAGGTATGGACTGCTCTTAATTGTATTGTTTGTTGATGTTTGAAAGAATTCACCTGATTCGGGTAATTGTTCAAGAGAAAATTACCTCCATTATAGTTTAGCCTACTCACTAATATCTAGCTATTTATATGTCTACATTTGCCTATAATTGATCATATCCCAAGAATCCTTCTCATTATTGTTAATTCCTAGTTTTTGTGACAACTTTTATCTGAGTTTTATTCCTATGACTGATTTGACCACATTTATACTTCCCAATCGAATCTAAACACGTAACGCTCCCTGTGGGATTCGACCCCAACTCATTTAGTTGGATTTTATACTGATTTACGATCGTTGACACTTAGAATTGGAAGTAGTGTCTACGAAACGTTATTAATCACAAATGAACTGAAGGAAGTTGTCGATCAACTGAATAGATAATATGATTTATGAACCAACGAATGCAGATATTGATACTTTGTTACTTGTCTCTTTAGTTTGAATTTGTATGGGGAATAATATGCTTTTTTGGAGTGAATCGGTAATAATCAAAATACAATGAAATGTTCATGGGAACTTTATTTATGTATGTTTTTCTGCCTTCATACATATGTAATTCTTCGAGTTTTAGGCCAGAACCATCCCTACATTATATTCACAACCTAAACTACATCCTTGTAAACTATACCTTCAAATGGAAAATACGTCTAAGATCACTACCCCACACTTAGAGCCTTGTTCATCCTCGAACAACTTACCAACTAATCCTAGACCTACAGTCCATACTATGGTATTTGTGCATCCGCCACTTCCTTTCAAGGATCTGTAATCAGTTAAAACAAGCATGTTTTCACTCAAAATAGGCCTTGCCCACTTTCATACATCATACAACTCATGTAATTGACTTGACACCTTTTTGGAACCAACACATACAACTTCATGTGCACCATTAGTCATCACATATCTTTCATAAAACAAGTGCCCCTGACTCAACAGAATAGTCCGTACACTCAACATAACACATTGAATATAGTTTAAGGACTTCGCAAACATTGTAAACTCTCACTCAACAATGACATCATACATGCATGCATTGAGAACCATAAGATTGCTCTTTATGTACATCTCCACAAATTAAGCGTGCTTTGCCCAAAATCAAACAGGACTTTATGGGTTTAGTGCAAGATTGAGGTAAGGGAGGATACATTTAGATAAAATTAGTGACTTATCCTCCCTAATGCATATGTTTCGATTTTCTTGCTACATTCCCAACTTTTTCCTTTCTTTGGCCCTCTCTGCATATTTTACCACTAGTACTTCCAACCTCGCCCTTATTTTATGCACATCTCCTTATATATATATATATTATTTTAGTTTTGACACTTAACGATAGCCACCCTCAACAGTCAAGTTAGAGATTTCTCTCAAGTTAAGGTGCACATTGTCCTTGTAAGGACCAGGGCCATTATTAAGGTATTTTCTGAGATAGCCATCCTTAACTTAGGCTTTTAACCTTAGTCTAAGTGCACAATGTCCAAGGGACCAGGGCCAATCACAAATTTAGGAACTTATGGGGTATCATTTCTCTGCCTCTTTTCTTATGAAATTAGGCAGGTCAAAATGAGCCTGACTCAGTGAACTTTAAAATGTTTGAGAATTTAAACCATAGCAGCTGAAATTAGGCAGGTCAAAATGTTTGAGTTGTATCTCTTACTCAAACAGATACAACTCACAAGAATTTCCTAGAGACAAACACTATGTTGCTTAGACTTAAAAACTGTCCATGGGTGCGTATTAGAGTACGAAGATCCGACATGCAACATGGAGCACGCACACCCATTTGGCTTCTCTCCCTTGCTTCCACAATTGTATAAGCTATGGCTATAAGCAAATCAACTGTAAAACCACAAATATCAATCAATAGTTATGTTAAACTATTGATATTGTTAAGGTTTTCATGAGGTTGATCTTGACCTGTCATTCAAGATTAACTACCTTTTCCTGTTTCCATTTCATGGCTACAGTCACTTTTTCATAATATAACAATAGATAGTTGATAACATGAAAAATAGATCAACACTTGAAATGCATTAAACAATGGTTTTTATCTTCCCTCAATGAAACACAACCGTTGCACCTGGAGATTTTAACAATTAATATTCGAAATATAGAGCATAATATCTATGAGCAGTAACCATACAAATCCACATCACAATGAACAATAAAAACAGTCAAAACCCATCCTTCTTCATTGCAACCCATGCAATCAACTGGGAGTATATTTTTTTGTTCTAAACATTAACATTCACTTCCTGAAAGTTCAAAAGTACATAACAATTAACAAAACAATATTTACTTTATCATGAAAAAAATTATCCAAAGTGCCACGTACATGATCTATATTTAACATGTAACAAAACTCACTTTGGTTAGAAACTATAAGCATTGTTTAAGCAAAAAAAATGAGATACATTACCCCCAACCAACTAAATTTGAGACATGTCAAAATTTCTTCCAATAAATATATATTGGTTAACTTATTTGATCTCTAGATGGAGTATTGCAATGCAAATAACTGGTATACATATTCAATATAAATGCAAAAAGAGTTAGAACAAATCACACACTGATCCATACCTTTAAGCTTCTTCCCCTTTCCTCCTTCATATTGTTTTTTATGATCAAGAATTCTATCTATAGCTAGTCTTTCAGCCAATTGCAACCTTTAAAACTCACGGATGATAGGTCTTCCCCTCTACCCTTCCCCACTTAAATACTAGAGCTAGATCGCTTGGCACAAGGCGCGAACCTGTAACCTAAGACACAAGGTTATCAACCTTTGTGAATAAAGAAAAATGCACAATATATTACCTTGGTCTGCGACGTACTGTTCTCTTGCTTCCTCACTTTAATTCCTCAAAAAGGACGCAAGTCAAAAAATTGAATCACAATAAAAGTCTATGCATATCCATCATCAAACTATTGTCGTTGTTTCTTACTAGGATTAACTATATTTCCTTGTTATAGATTGGCAACAGTAATTTGTGACAATTTTTCAAAGTATTATGACAGATAGTTGACACCACAACAAGTAAGAATGACTCTTTAATTTCTTTAAAAATGGTTTTCATCACTAACTTGGTGATACATAACCAATATACCTAGTTAGTTTAACTTTAATATTGTGGATGATTGAAAAAAATGTACTCTAAACATGATTAAAAGATCAACTATTGTAGGAACTATTTTTGATTCATATAACAACGATGATTAAATTTATAGTCTCATCTACTTTAGAATTGACGAGGCCTTCTTAAACAAAGCTCATCCCTATTATCTTTCTCTTATATTCATGCCTTTGACCCCATCTCACGCTCATGGTTAAAGTAACTAAACTTGTTTCATGAGCTGCTCTATGATTGCACTGAACCATTGGTTATTCACAAAAGTGAAATAAGTATAACAAATAGAAGATAGTCCTAAAGAAATAATGCTGAGTGCAATTAGCTTGAAGATGAAGACAGCAAGCCCTAGAACCAAAATAATTATTCTTGAGAAGAAGTTTCATGAAAGAAAAAAACACTAAAAAGATCTTCTAACATATATAATTCAAAGATGTTTGTGATATGCAGTGTGGTAATGTTTTGTAAATGAGAAAAGAAACAAAATTTAATAGCGCTTGAGAAAAATATATAATGAACTCTTACTAATTATTTATCACACGATTTTCATCATCTGACCTTTAATTATGTGTTGCCTTTGATGTTGTTGCATTCCTTGTATGTTCCACAACAAAAGGCCAAACAAGGCTTTCAATGTAGAGCTTTGCGTCAACAAGTTGACCACAATTGGTAACCTCTTGAAATCGCATTGAGTCATCCTTTGGATTGCAAATTATGATATTTGATCCATTCTTAAACAAAATTTCACCTTCACTTGATATGCAAAAATGTGGACCAAAGAAACTATATCCCACACACCTGATGTTAAACATTTTTGTCCAAGACTCTTTATCTCCATACTCCTTCATAACCCACACATCTGCATGAGTCATTAGAGGATGACAAATCATAGACAGATCATTTCCTAATACACCAAGGTACGGCGTAAAATCAAAATTTCCTTCTCCGTAGCAAGGATTCTCCATTTCTTCCCATCTCCCATTAGCCAAGTCAACCACAAAGATGACACAATCATTATAATAACCAGAATACTTATTAGTAATAGCCCAGTGAAGCTTCCCATTCACAAGCATACCTGAGTTATTGAATGACATAGCAATCTGCAAATCATCCAAATGTTTCCAAGAATTATTATTTAGACTGTACATTTTCCCCACATTATAATATGAATTGTCATCACCCACATTTAAAGTGATATCCACTACCTTATAATCATCATGAAGCTCATCGTATCCAAAACCATACATATAAAAGGAACCAGTTCTAGAACTAGGCATTTTCTTGAGCTTCCTAATTGATGGATTCCACAGAAACAAGTCTTTTTGTTCAATGGCAACACAAATAACCCCATTGACAGAACCCACAACCTTAATAGATTGATAGGATTTTTTTGGAGGATAATCCAAGTCGATTGCCCTAGTAACATCGTCATAAAATAAAGATTTAACAGAACAGTCCTTAAGATTATTTTCAGGTGGACCGAACCCCAATATAAGCCTATGAAAGGCCTTGTTATTAGAAGATATGTTGAGATGGGTGTTGACAAATTTATGACTAGAGATTAAACCAAGCCAAGATTTTGATACAGACCTAAATTTCAAGAGGGGTTTCACTGGAAGCCTTAAGAGGATCTCAGTAATGATCTCTGTTGGTAGAACAGTGGTTGTAAAGTTTGAATCTTGAACAAAAGAAAAATAAAATGGATCACTGGTAGTGTGCTTGCTCCTCTTTTGGTGTCGATGAGAGGCTTCAGATTCCATTATGTTGCAAAAATTTGTGAAGACAACAATGTTTTGATGTTTTTATCTAGAACTATGCTCTAAAAATATTTTTTAGTTGTACCATCTCTGATAGATATGCTATATAATTCTTGTCCAAATAAATGGTCATTTCTTTATTGGAAAAAGATTTTAAAGTGTTCCTTAAGTGTCATTTGATCAATTTTTATCCTTTTAAATTTGCCATAAATGAACGTGCATTTAAGTTGTAGAAGGAAATTCACGGTCAAAAGAATCTCTTAAATTACACAGTCCAAAAGATCAGTCAAAGAAATCTAGTTTAAGATTAGGAGGATTTACTCATAAACATTAATTCACTATGGGTTTTGTCCATTTAACTTAATTTATACATAGATTTTTGTTGTTATAGTGGATTTGGACTGGGAATAAGTTTTTTTTTAATTAAAAATGCTAGTAAAGTAAATAACATAAGCAAGCCAGTGAAATAATTCTTTAACAATTTGTTGGATAAAATATATTCTAAAGCACCTTGTTCGTTGCAGCCTAAAACAACTTGAGCAAAAAAGCTCTTTTTTGTACTAAGTTGTATATCTCTGTCATAGTTACTTTATGATGAACCAAATTATTCATAGGAAATTCATTATCAGTCCCCGAGCCTATGACTTGAGTGTGGCCAACACACGAAAATCACTACTATTCCCAAGAGAACCCTTGGTCGAGCTTACTACTGAACGGAAGACTAAAAACTTATGAAAACGCTTTAAAAGTCATAAACATTCACACATTTAAACATGCTTTATAAAAAGTCTCAAATATAAGTATGAATTATAATAATAATAATAATAATAATGTTTAAAACATTCAAAGATCAAGACTTAACTGACTCATTCACTTGTCTATGGAGCCTCTACTAAACTAAGATAGGTGCGGGACACGACCAATGGCTACCTGAATAATAAACAAGAATGTCTACTAATTAATGAAATAAATAACCGAATTGGATCGCTCTAAAAGCAAGGAGATCTCACCAAAATCTAATGTAGAGTATCTCAACAAAGTGTCTGTTGTTGACCCTGAGTACATGTATCTACATCATTAAAAGATGCAGCGCCGAATGTCATCATTACATGGAATGTATGGCATGTAAAATAGATGAATACAACAGTGGTTATACTAAGCATACATAATTGAAGAACAACTCAGAGAATGATTGAAAATTTTATAACTTAGTAAAGCATGCAAATTTATTGAAAACAATAATGTTTTACAACATAGATATATGCAATAATATCAAATGCTTAAATAGTATACTTCACTTTTCTTAGGGAGTTTCTCTAATCGACAACCATCACTATGAACTTCATGATGATATAACGTCTTGCCCACATTACCATATCCATCATATACATTGACAGGGTAAAGGATGAACTGACTAATGAATCTAATATCTATGCCCTTACCAGGGGCTTTATGAAGAGTCGCCCGAATAAATGGCACGATCCTATCCTACGGTGGTTGTGTATTTATGGGGTTTGAGTTCTCTAAACACTTACCTAACTCAGTATTCAATACAGCTCTCAAACCAATGCAATGATGCTCAATAACTGTATAAGGTTCCATGTTAGAAAAGAGTGTCCCACTTTAGGAAAAACTAATAATCTCTATCTTGAATTACTACTCAAAATACTTCGTTTTGAATATACTAAACTTGCTTTAGAAACTGACTGGAAACCTTTCTCTAAAATTGATTATTTTTCTTTATGAAAATAATAAACTTGGAACGTTTCAAGTTGCCTTACAACTCTTTTTGAATTATGGCTCAAATACTTGAAGTTTACTTTGAATGTGAAAGCAATGCATAATGAATGATATGCCAAGGCCTCTAAAAATTCTTAATTAAATAGGGTGCATGTGATATAATAAGCTTGAACAACAATCGAGGATCATCAATATGTAGAGAACTGAAATCTCTACAATGAAATCAAGAATCTACACTAAAAATGTATGGCGAATTTCAAATAGGGCTAACTTTGGAGTAAAAACCCTAATCTTAGTCTTTTTAACTAAAAACTATATGTAGGGCATAAAGAAGAACTCATTCACTCACTACGATAGCCTTACATACCATAGAGAATAAGAGTTCTTCAAGAAAGCTTCATACCCTAGATTGTTCTTTTTTTTAATTTTTTCACTACGTTTGGGGAGAAAGATATGAGAGTATTCTAAGGTAACACTACGATATACTTCCCAATTAGGTACTATAAAGTCAAGGTTTTGGCTTAGAAAGAATGAGAAAAGACTAAAATATCCTCAATTAAAAACTCCTGTAATCCTTTCAGGAGGCCTAACTATGGTCCACAGTTAGATCTACAACTCATGGATTCCATCTAGACCAAAATCAGGCTCTCGAAAGTTCATTCCACGAGACAAATTATGGATGTTTTTTTTATTTACGGATTGTGATTGAATACGTAAAAATCAGACAAAAAAATAAGTTTCAGGACTTTATTCTACGAGCTAAAATTATGGCCCATAGTTGGATTTACGACCCATAGTTTGGTCCGTAAGAATAAGTCCAAAAAATGGCTTCAGAAGTTTGATTCTGTGATATTCATTAGATCTTTACTTCACTATACAACCCATAAATGGGGCTCATAGTGGGTAGATTACGATAACTCTACAGGAAGTGTCCAAGGTAAAATGTCGTAACTTTTTCAATCTGAACTCCATTTGATACAAACTCGGTGACATTGGAAAGAAGATCATAGAAGTTTTATGCGAAAGTCCATGGGACACTAACTCTTAATATTCAGAGATATATGGTCATTTGAAGGTTATCCTATCATGAACAGTTGTAAAAAACTTAGCTAGTGGGAAGATTTTGATCTCAACTTATGCTAGAGGTCCCTTATGACCATAAATAACTTCTGATTCACTTTATACACTTGGTAAATGACCTTAAAATAAAATATCAAGTAGCATATCACCCGATTCAAGCTTATATACTTATGGCGAATGATTCAGATTCTAAGGGTAGAGATGCGAGGTGTTACATTAATAATGCATTTAAGCAGCTATTTAAACCTTAAAGATATTTAATCTTTGATGTTGAACTTTAATACATTCAAGGATTTTATATTGTGAATAATGATATGAATATCAATGATAGAATCTTGAAATGAGCATCACAATAGAAGCATTTTTGTCCGTTCAATGTTAGGGTGTAATGACTCATCTTCGTCATTATGAGTAGGCCAATGGTGAAAAAATTTAGGCCAAAAAACTTTTCAAGTAGTGACTTAAATTATTAGGCTAGGCCAGCCTCATACAAAATCTAGGCTAGGTGAGGTCTAGGGCCATCCGATAATAGGCGGGGTAATATTGATGTTTAATGAACATATTCTTGTAGTCAAAGCATTAAGGTGTCCTTAGGGCCTTTGAGAATTCAATTAAGTTAAGTATAACTCTGGAATTGATCTTGGCATGGAAGGTATGTGTCGGGACATATTGGGAAGATGTTGTGTTGTAAAAAGGGCCTTTTTCTGAATTATTAATTTCTAAAGTTTTGTCGAGGCATTTATAGCAGGATGCATTCCGCTATACTCATGCTCAGACCTCTATAACGGTGTTAATTACTACTGCAGCAACGTCGCTATAGCAGGCTAGGCTGTTATAGAGAGGGGAAATGGGATTTATATAGTAATAGCCTCGAAACCCCTATTTTATGCACTTTGTGTTCTTATACTTGGGAGGGGAAATTTTGAGATGTTTGCACTTGATTTTCGATATAACTCATTAGTAAAGGTAAGACTATTACTCCCCAACCTTGTACTTTGATTATTGAGCCTTGGAGTCTATGTTATTACTATTTGGGGAGGGTTCTAACATGATTTAATGGTAGGAAGAGCCCTGGGTCGGATAGAATGACCATGAATTGGCCTAGGGTTAGGATTTGGTTGTAATCCAAGAATTATTAGGCCATTTTTCATTGAATATTGTGTTGTATTATTATTTTAGATCAAGAACAAACTAAAGTTTCACAAGGGTTCAAGGCTCATGATCAAACTTCTGCAGCAATTTCTTGGCACCCAAGTAGGCTATGTTTTCTTATTTGTGTAGTAAAACCTATTCTCTACTCCATGGTATTTTGTATATTGACGAGAGATTGAATGCCTAGGCCTTCTGGATGGTTAAGGTTGTTTTTATTGGTGTAAAGGCGGGAAAAGATAATGACAGGGGGTGGTTCTAAAATTCTTAATTTATAACCTTGAGTTTGCTTGTTGGGGTGATTAGGTGTTAATGGTACGGTTAAGTGTTATCAAAATGCTAGGTTATAGCCATTTCTAGGACTTGTGGTAATCAAATGGAAAAGATATGTGCTCATAAAATGGGTCTAGTGTTGAGATATTGGTATATGCATATAGGTGTATATATGCATGTATATGTTTATATTGATTGTTATATGTGGAATGTTGTTCAATGCATGTGTCACGATCCATAGTATACCCTAGGCGTAATATGACATATAGAATCCCGAAAGGCCGTACACAAACCACTTAGCATACATTATACAAAGTAATAAAAATAAAGATTTTAAAATAAAGTCTTATATCATAAAGAGTTTGACAAAGTGGAAGTCTAACATAGTCTCAACTTGCCATCTATTACATCATAAGGAAGTGATTGAGACGTAAATCATACATCACGTACAAAGTCTGAAAACTAAAATAAAGAAAGTAATAAGAGTTGCTCGGTCTTTGGAACATGAGGAATCACCAATCCTTGAGTGTCAAAAGATCAACTAGCCATGAGTGTGAGAGGTAGGAGCGTCAGACCCTACATTAGTGAAACAATGTAGGCACAAGTATGCAGTAGTACATGAAATGTACTAAGTATGCTAACAATGTATAAGAGTTATGAAATTATTTTAAAAAGGATTTTACATGACATGCAATGACCAAGCTAAATCATAAGATAAAAGGGTTAGGAAACATAAGTCATAGTCATGGTCAATGCAAGCT